CAAGCTATCTGGATTATAAAAGTGTGCCTTGCACTAGAAGGTGGAAATGTGGAATTTCCCTAAAAAAAAAAGCAAAAAAAAAAAAAAAAAGCAAATAAACCAGATCCTCCTGACTGCTTATTCTAACGATTTGCCTGTCTCTTATTAAGTTGTAAATTAATTTGACAAAAATTACCTAATAAGTATAAATTCCTATATTCTATAAGAATCGAACAGCTTTTCCTTTGGCAAAAATTCACATTATCTAAAATAATTACTGCATAATACTTTGACTATCGTTAGTTTTATTATCACTGTTAGAGCTATGAGTTGGTGAACTTTGTTTGTTTTCTGAGACAGGGTCTCACTCTGTTGCCCAGGCTGGAGTGCAGTGGCATGATCATGGCTCACTGCAGACTCCACCTCCCAGGGCTCAGGTGATTCTCCTACCTCAGAATCCCAGGTAGCTGGGACCACAAGTAAAATTAGCCACAGTGCCTGGCTAATTTTTGTATTTTTGGTAGAGACAGAGTTTCTGCGTGTTGCCCAGGCTGGTCTTGAACTCCTGGGCTCAAGCAGTCATCTCTCCTCAGCCTCCTAAAGTGTTGGGATTACAGGTGTGAGCCACTGCACCCATGAATTGGTGAAATTAACATCATTTTTTAAGGTTAAAAATTAAGAGAGTATATTTTAATCTCTCATTTCCATCTATTCACTGGGAAGACTGTTCTATGTAACTAGTAAACAGACTTCCAAATTATACAAAGTTATGTCCTAACTTACTGTCTTATTAACTTCCCCAGAGACCTACCAATGCCAGGAGTAATAATTATTATTTGGACAGGAAATTGATGTGAGAACTTATCTAGGTCTTGAATTCAGAAGTAGCAAAAATCCATTTCCAGTTAGAATTAGCTATGCTGTGTTAGAGATTTGGAATATAAACATTGTAAACATTTGTTTTCTTGAATAATGTTAGGATATATATTTTTGACATGTAAATGCTAGAAACTATTCCAAAGCAACTTTATTGCTTTTTTGCTATGTCAAGATATACTATCTTGACATCATTTAAGTTGGTATTTGCAAAGGTGGTTCAAAAAAATTTTTTTCCTTATATGTTTAACTTTATGCTGTCCAACAGTCAAATACAGTGATACTGGTTCCATTTCCAGGTAGACATACCTTTGGATTTTCAAACCACTGGTTGTCTTGGATTTGTAGTGATCCTTCCATATTCATTCATTCATTTCATTTCCTCATTATTTTTCTCAGTTTTTTTGTTAAATATTGCAGATTATATTTCTCAAAAGTCAAAATAAACTATATTAATAAAGTTTTTGTCTAGTTGGAAACATTTGTCTCCCTTCTGTATTGACTTTGATATCAAAAAATGAAAAAGGTAGAATTATGTCATTATTTTGTCATGGAAGTTTTGAGAAATGTTGATTGCTGACTTAAAAATTCCAAAGGTAAGACCGGGCGTGGTGGCTCACGCTTGTAATCCCAGCACTTTGGGAGGCCGAGGTGGGCAGATCACATGAGGTCCGGAGTTCAAAACCAGTCTGGTCAACATGGCGAAACTCCGTCTCTACTAAAAATACAAAAATTAGCCAGGCATGGCGGTGTGCACCTCTAATCCCAGCTACTGGGGAGGCTGAGGCAGGGGAATCACTTGAACCCGGGAGGCAGAGGTTGCAGTGAGCCGAGATTGTGCCACTGCACTTCAGCCTGGGCAACAGAGTGAGACTCTTTCTCAAAAAAAAAAAAAAAAAAAAAAAAAAAAATCCCGAAGGTACAACTGCCTACTGTCTCAGTGGTTACAAAGTTCTATCTCAAAAATGTCATCTGGGTCATGTGGGTCAGTGTTCTAGGGTAGATCTTGACAGTTGATTTTTCTCATGAGCTTCTGTGGGATGCCATTGCTGCTGGTTTGGACATCACTCGAAATAGCAAGAATGTAGTAATCACTTTGTGCTTTCTGGAAACAGAACTCTTTCTACTGAGAAACCCATTTTATGTGGTATAAAATATGACCCAGGTATTGGCCAATCATAATCTCTCTTAAGAAGTGATTTTGGTGCCAGATGTGGTGGTTCATGCCTGTAATCTTAACACTTTGGGAGGCCAGGAGGGAAGATTGCTTGAGGTCAGGGGTTCAGAACCAGTCCGGGCAACATGGCAAAACACCATCTCGACCAAATATACAAAAATTAGCTGGTGTGGTGGTGCATGCCTGTAGTCCTAGCTACTTGGGAGGCTGAGGTGGGAGGATGGTTTGAGCCTGTGAGATGGTGGAGGTTGCAATGAGCGGAGATTGCACCATTTCCCTCCAGCCTGGGTGGCAGAGCGAGACCTTGACTCAAAAAGAAAAAAAAAAAGTGATTTTGGGACTCTAGGTGGTATGTCATCCTTCAAGTATAAAAGGGGTGATCTTTTCTGGTCTATCTAACATGAAAAAGTAAGGCTAATATGAAAGAATAAGGCCAATATAAAAAGGGATAAGATGAAGCAATAAACAAGTATGTCCCCGGGGCATTCTTTGGATTCCTGGATTCAGATGTGTTTAATATATTTTATTCCTGGAATTACAAGTTAATATATTCAGTTTTTTCTTAAGCTAGTCTGAACTTCTCCCTATCCTACAACCAAAAGTCCTGGTAAATATACCAAGTTCAGCCATTCAACAAATTATAACTAATGGCAATAGGACTTTGATCAAAGTGTAGTTGAGTTAATACAAAAGCAGAAGATAATTCATGCTCTTATGTAACCTAAGGGACGTGTGCTGAACTCAACGTCTCTAAGTATTCTAATACAGTCCTAGAAGCAATGTGGTGACTGTCCAATATAGCTGATTTACAGCATTATCTTTTTACTTAAAAGATGTGTAACAACGCTTTGGGAGGCTGAAGGGGGAGGATCACCTGAGACCAGGAATTTGAGGCCAATCTGGGCAACAAAGCAGGACTCTTGTCTCTATAAAACACTAGCTGGGCATGGTGGCACATGCCTGTGGTGCTAGCTAATCTGGAGGCTGAGGCAGGAGGATAGACACCCAGTCTTGGGAAAAAAAAAAAAAAAGTATAAGCTCACACCTCCAGTGGTGAAAATGACCTTGGGTAGCTACTTTTCCACTTTGTAGATGAGGAAATCAACTTGCATTTTGTTCTGTGCTCCATCTAAAGTTACTGAACCCAGAACCTAGGTCTACCCTTCTCATTCTACAAGTCCCCTCTTCCACACTGTCATTGTTATTCCTTATTATTTATTATTTATTTTTAGACAGAGTCTCACTCTGTCACCCAGGCTGGAGTACAGTGGTGTGATCTTGGCTCACTGCAGCCTCTGCCTCCCAGGTTCAAGTGATTCTTGTGCCTCAGCCTTCTGAGTAGCTGGGATTACAGGCACATGCACGCCTGGCTAATTTTTGTATTTTTAGTAGAGATGGGGTTTTCCCATGTTGGCCAGGCTGGTCTTGAACTCCTGACCTCAGCAGATTCACACCTCAGTCTCCAGAGGTGCTGGGATTACGGGCCTGGCTTGTTATTCCTTAATGTATTAAGACTTTATTATGCTATCGCTGGCTTCTGGTTGAGTGAAAAGGATGACAGTACTTCCTAAAATTAAGTGGCTATAAATGTATACAAAATGTATACATTTGTATGTCTATGCCAGGCTCTGTGGCTCTTGCCTGTAATCCCAACAATTTGGGAGGCCAGCAGGATTGCTTGAGACCAGGAATTTGAGACCAGCCTGGGCAACATAGCAAGATACCAGCTCTACAAACATTAAATAAAAATTAGCAGGCATAGTGGCATGTGCCTGTAGTACCAGCTACTGGGGAGGCTGAAGTGGGAGGGTCTCTTGAGCCTGGGAGGTAGTGAGCTGTGATCATACCACTGTATTCCAGACTGGGTAAAAGAGCAAGATCCTGTCTCAAAAAACAAAACAAAAAAATCCGAAGTGTATGTCTAGATGCCTCTTTGTAACATACTTTGCATGTGAATATATATTTGGGAAGAAATATTGGAGAATCATATAGTAAGGCCTATATACAACTTGATAACTCATGCATGAATGTATAAACACTGAAAGAAAAATTCTAAATGTGACTCCAAAAGTACTTCTAAGGTTATCAGACACTATAAAATTGATTCTTTTAAGACAAAGAATATTCACTGTTTTTAAAATTTAAAGAAATTTAGAAATATTCTTCAAAAATTAGAAATTAATGTAACTTTCACACCAGGCGTGGTGGTTTGCGCCTGTAATCCTAGCACTTTGGAGGCCAAGTGGGGTGGATCACTTGAGTCCAGGACTTTGAGACCAGCCTGGGCAACATGGTAAAATCTCATCTCTACAAAAAACACAAAAATTAGCCGGGCATGGTGGGGCATGCCTGTAGTCTCAGCTACTTGGGGGTCTGAGGCAGGAGGATTGCTTGAACCTGGGAAGTCAAGGCTGAAGTGAGCCGAGATCCTGCGACTGCACTACAGCCTGGGCTATGAAGTGAGACACACTCTTAAAAACAAAAAAAATGTAACTATGTTTATGTACTCTTGAAACACTGGTAATTTCAACACAACACAGTGAGGGAATTGGTGCCTGTAAGTGAATTATTTCACGTGGTTAAGTTTGCTTCATATTTAAGATTGAAATTTAGAGTCTGGACATAGTGTCTCACGCCTATAATCCCAGTGCTTTGGGAAGCCAAGTTGGGAGGATTGCTTGAGGCCAGGAGTTTGAGATCAGCTGGGGTAACATAGTGAGACCATGACTACAAAAAAATTAGAAAATTAACTGGATGTGGTGGTGTGCACCTGTAGTCCTAGCTACTTGGGAGGCTGAGACAGGAGGACTGCTTTAGCCTAAGAGTTGGTCAGTAATTTTCTTTAGTACAGACCTAGATATAATTCTTACCCAGAATGGCTTAAAATAGAGCTTAATTATAAGTTTAATGTATTTGCATGTATGGTGAGTTAGTAATATGATCAAGATTCAAATAAATCTCCAAACAATTATACAAAACAGAAAAAAACAAAACACTTTATTTTCCACAAGGAAGAGCAATAGGAAAAATTAAATCATTTCCCACATATTGTTTTCTTAAAACAGAGCCTACAAGGACATATTCAGCACCAAATAAAAAAGGAAAAAAAAGAGAAATTACAAACAGCCATAGAATATAATCTATAAAGCAAACATTTAATATTGCACTTTGTTTTGCTAACATTTTGGATTTTACTTTTCCTAATTGAAAAATCAGGAATCTATCTTGAATACCGGAATACAACTGTGAACCTCACATCTTATGTCAGGAATTGACCAATATTTTTTAAAAAGTAATGCCTCTAAAGAAATACTTTTTAATGGGGAAAATAAAACTTTATTTGATAAAGTTTTATACATTTTAAAGTTTTATCACATTTTGTGATCCAGTGCCAATTATCAGAATATTGGCCATTCTTGCTTCATGTGTTATTTGTAAGAGTATATAATGACAAGTATTCCAATGCTATGCATATCAACAATTGTTCCCTAGTCAGACATAAGAGAGAAAAGGGATTTTCTGACAATCCCCCCCAAAACAAAAATAAAACCACCAAATGCCCTTTATGCCAAATATTCCATTAGCTTTTTTTGAGGGGGACATTCACAAAATGATTTAACAATAAAAAAATACTTCACCCCCATTTCCTTATTATCTAGTATTAGTTTGCTACGGGAGCCCAAACCCTTTAACCGAATCACTTAAAACGCGATTCATTTTTACACTGGGCTTTCTTCACCCTGTCAGCATTTTTCAAACATGAATTGTCTTCCATGTTTTCTTAAAGGCCACTTATGGAAAAGCCTATTTGTTTTGTATGAGCTTTAAGACAGTATTTAACCAGGTCAAGCACCAAGCCAGAGCTACTATTATTTTCAGCCACTTTATTAACTGTGGGGTTAAATGGCAGGATAGATGTAACACCCATTTTACACGTATGTTGCAACATCAGAGATGCTGGTTTTCTTTAAAAACATCAGAGCTGAATTCCTTCTAAAATACAACAACAACAACAACAACAACAAAATAAGTACACTTGGTACCTTGGAAAATGCTGAAATGCTATCATGAATGCTGGTATATTTGTTATGAGCCAACAGAAAATTACCTTTAATATAAACTATAATTTACTTATGTGATTGTTCTTCCTATGTAATCTATACATGATCAAAGTGAGTGATTTCTCATGTTTAGCAAATTGTTCTTTAGGTAATGAAAAACAGTATTCTCATTAGAAAAACACAAAAATACAAAAGATTTATCGCAGCAAACGTTCTAGTATTTTAAATTTTGAAGTTATACACTTTTGGAATAAAGTTGAGTTTTCATGCTATATCAAGCTTGAGCAAGATAGCAAAGGTACAAATTGAGCTCTCTAATCATAACCTTAATATATATATTCCTGCTCATTAATATACTTTGCACCAGCAAAAACGATTTCCAACATATGTGTTTTGGAGGTAATTAAGTAACTCTGTATAAAAATAAATGCACTTCTCCCTCCTTTCCCCAGTGAATGGAAAACTTCCATACTTTTAAAATAATAATAATAATAAAAATAATTTTTAAGAGCAACAGCCCTCAACTCTTTGCTGGTGCCTGCCATACTGCCTTTCTTCACTCCATTCTTAGCTCAGCTAGTTTCTTCTTGCATGTCATGATAAAAAGGGAATGTGGGTGGGTTATAACTTTTGTGTATGTCCCGTTTCCAAATTTCCCTCTCCAAAAAGCCAACCAAATAAACGAACAAACAAAAAAAAAACAGTGCAACAAAACACAAATAGCATTCCAACAGTTTGGCAAGTGATGCGTTCACCTGAGATTAAGTGATTTTAGGCAGTCAGTAACAAAATGCTGCTTTGCTGTAATAGTAGAAAGGCAACAAATTTTTAAAAGAAACCAAGAAGGTATACAATCTTGACAGTCTCTTATTAGCTTCCTCCTCTCATCTCTTTTTTCCCCACATTATCTGTTGCGTATCTACTACAGTAGGCTGCAAAACATACAGCAAAAAGGATTGGCTTGAAGGCATTTGATGTTTGTAAATAAATCCACAATTGGATCCAAGCTGAAGAGGTGATACATGGTCAGCCTAGTAGGACAATTCTGAGCATGTGCATACGCAGGTAAAGTCCAGGCTATATTAAATTAAAAAAAAAAATGTCAGTGCGTCTTTTCATGTTAAAGTTTTTTCAAAGCTTTCTTTTGTTCCTTGTTGTGCTGACCACAAACAAGTTTTAAGAGTATCAAGAGTCTGGCAAAAATAGAAAAAAAAAAAAAAAAAAAAAAAAGCTGTAGTGACATCGAACCGCACAATGTAAGCATTGAGCATGTGCAAATTTTCAAATCAAAAGAAGGAGATCATCCCTCTTGAAAACGTGGTGTCTTGACACGTACGACCATAGGCTAAGAAGACTGCTCTGAGTATGTGCCAGTTTTAAAAGAGAAAAGCTTAGATCTTCAAGCATGTTGGAGCAGTCCCAGAATGTTGCTGTAGGCTTCTAAAGCATGATCACTGGTTGTTTCATGTATTCGCCATTTTTCTGGGCAAAAGCAATTCCACTTCCTCTGAAACGTGTCTCCAAGATACTTCTCTGTCCTCAGCCGGAAGAGATACAGTTCAGAACCCACATCAACTTGATTCAACCAAGTGTTCCTTCAACGAGAGGGACAGGATGGTCTGTCATCTGCTGACTGATCAGGATTTGGATCAATCTAGAAAGAAATGAGAAGAAAAGTTTACAGAGTTATTTCATGAGGTCTAGGAAGAATGCAGCAAATGATTACAATTCTGAATACTAGTCAAGAAATGTAATCAGAGAGAGCATACATAGCTTGTTAGCATATTGTAGCCAATTATAGCATATTGTATCCAATTATTCTCTTTTCATATCTGAAATGCTATGTGGGGAGGAAAGGGTGCTGGTACCTATAAAGTACCTGATATTTAATTATTAGATTAACAAGATTAAGGTATGTCTGAATAGTCGCCTATTTCATAAAAATTAACAGTAAAATTTTATCATTGAATGAAGACTTACTCAGTATTGTAGTAGTACTTAATTAAGACCTAAATACACAATATAGAATATCTTCATAGCAATCATCTCCTTTTGTAAAGTACCCCTTTTCATCCTTCTACAAAAAAGTTAACCCATTGCTTCCTCTGACTTTGGAAAAATGAAATTGTGTAAACAATTCTCTTTGTTTATACAATGTGCAAACAATTTGTTTACTTACATAAACAATGTGCTTATGTGAGGTAATAACTCATGGGTGTAAAACTCCAGAGATGGCCAAAAAATGCAGTGTGTGTATCAGGAAGTAAAACTACTGAACCCAAAATACTCAAGAGATTTTCTCTCACCTTCTTTATCTTTGGAGTGACTTTCATATGTACATATTTTTAATGAAAAGTTGCTTCTCAGGTACAAAGATAATAGAATGGTCACAGAAAAGCAAATTGTTGGGTTTAATATATTTTTTACTGAAAGAGCTTTTGGATGAGACCCATCCACTTGCATTTAAATGTGGAACAACCCAAATTGCCTCAGAAGCTTTAGGTAAAACACATTTTTGAAGGAAAAAAGTCAAATAACTCTTAGTTAAATCACACCCTGAACATATTTTAGAGTTTTAAAAGTTGCAAATTATCTTTGGTGCTTTTTAAAAGGTGGCAGAATTTTCCCACAAGTTGCTTAAAAGTGAACTATACTTAGATTGCCATTCTTTTTAAAATGCCTCCTTGGACAGCCAGGGAGCCTCAAATCAAGCCAGAAATGACTGACTTATAATAAGCAAGAAAGAAATATCCAAGTAAAAATGTAATGACAAAATCTGTAGCAAGTGACAGAACACTTTTAGCATCTAACAGAAATTTTATGTATTAGAAGATAGAAAAAAATTATGTCTCATGAAGAATTCTGAACATTCTATAATCAATGAATGAAGAAGATCTCATATTATTGCATCCCAAGGAAAACTGACCCTTCCAGTTATGGTGTTAAAAAAAAAAAAGAGAGAAATTTGATGAACAATCCCCCTGATGTTTAATTTGGGAGTAATATTTCAGTGTAAAACAGCTATGTAAATTACAGTAACCAAAAGAAAAAGCTGATTCTAGTAATTTACAGAATTATTTTGGTATCAAAACCAACTCCAAAACCCCTTAAAAATGTGTACTAGTGGCTAAAGTCACTCTGAAATATCGTGAAATTGCTAGATACCCTACCTACTTACTCCTTGTCTTTACATATACTGTTCTTTCTGCCTTTTGAGGACTACTCATTCTTCACAATTCAGCTTAACGGTCACCTTTTCAAGAAGCCCCACCTGATTCCCAAGACCCAATAAACTGCTCCTCAAATGAGCTGTGCATTTTATCACATTATGATGTAATATTTTGCTTCTTAGCTTGTTTTCCTCAGTAGTCTGTGGGCTTCTCCTAAGAGCTATGTTTATTTACATTTAAGTGCTTAGCTGCCATCAATGAGATAAATGAAAATAGTCTAACCACGTGGGAATGTTGTTTTAAGATGTTATCACAAATACATTATTTCTTATGACTGAGAATGTCAAAATACTCAAGAATTGGAAAAGAATCATGAATAAGATAAATTCTAGCTATTTAATCACTGTTTGCAAAATGCCAGTTCTTCCTATTGATGCTTGGATATACAAAATTCTTCCTTCAAAAAATGTGTCTCAAGATACAAGTTTAAGAGAAAAAAAAATTAGTAATTCAACATGAGGTTAGATCATTGTCTTAATTCCCTAACAAGTGAACAGTCCTACCTCTATCTCAAACTTAGTAAATATTGACAACCTTAATCTTAACTTTTACTCTGTCGTTTTAAATTATTTGTTCTGTTATTATCATGATAATCAAGATCTAATTACATTAAAAAAAAAATGCCTGCAATGCTATTTCTCGAGACAGCCAGTTCATTGCATACTTAAGAGTAGTTACTTACTTCTGAATAAAGAGGCGGAGGCAAGAACCGAAACTCCTGGATATATGCAAACAGTGGTCCTTGAAGCGCTCTCTCAAAGTCATCACAAGCATTCACTGGTGCAAGATTGTTCCGCCTTTGTTCCTCTGTTACCACTTCTGCATAGCTGGGTGGTGCTGAAGGAAAAAGATACACGCAATTCGAACAGCATGTTCTTATGCATGTCAAAATACACAAAATAGTAGGTATTAAAAAGCAATGTCAAGGTAAAATAATAATTATTTGTTTGGTGATTAAAACTATGAAGACATATAATCAAAACTGAGTATTAGGGGCACATCTACTTTCTTTAGGGGAAGATTACATTCATCTAGGGTCATAAAATATCAGAAGCAAAATAATTTTCTTGATAATAATAGTAAGAAATTAAGCTTAGATATGTATTATCAAATTACCTTCAGGTCTTTCAGGAAGTGATAAACTGAGCCAGTTCATATTCATGCTACACTGACTGCTTACACTTGAGGTTCTGCTACCAAATGGATGTAGAGGAATGGTACCGATGACAAGTGGCAAATTAAGAAATAAATCCATAGCTCCAGGAATATCCACATATACCTAAACATTGCAAAGAAATATTACGTTTAGAATGCCAAGTATGATTTCCTTTTCAAAAACTAATAACCAATTTTAATGTTATTTGAAACCCCCATTTACTTCATTTTTTATCTTACATACATGAAAAGTTTCTCTTTTATGTATAATTCTATATAGTACATTTACATATAAGGTATAATTATAAGTCAAACTATATAAAGAGTTATGTATTTCATATGTCACTATATATGGAATTAAAAAACCTGGATGTAAGACAAAATTATGTCTCCATAACTTTAAGATTAAAAACAAAACAAAACACCAAAGACTTCTTGGGCCAGGCACTGTGGCTCAGCCTCTAATTCCAACACTTTGGGAGGCCATGGTGGGTGGATCACTTGAGCCCAGGAGTTCAAGACCAACCTGGGTGACATGGTGAAACTCCATCACGACAAAAAATACAAAAATTATCCAGGCCTGGCTACAGGCACACTTGTATTCCCAGCTACTTGGGAGGCTCAGGTGGGAGGACCACTGGAGCCCAGAAAGCAGAGGCTGCAGCAGAGCTGAGACTGTGCCGTGGCACTCCAGCCTGGGTGACAGGTGTTTCAAAAAAGAAAAAAGAAAGGAAAAAACCTCTTAAATGTGTACATACCATTAGTGAATATTCCACACGGATTATACTACAGTCGAGGATAGAGGGAGAAACTGGTGGAATTTTCAGCAACTTGCCATTCCACGTCTCTGTCTTTCCAGATGATAAGGATTCCCCACGCAAGTTAGCCACAAGCTGTTTTACTTCCTTCATTTTCCCTTTGGCATAGAAGGCCTGTGTTTGGTAAATGGCTGCCTTTGGCACCACCATTCGGGAAGAGCAGTTCTCAATCTCAGCAAATATCTGAATTGATTCACCTAGAGAGGGAAAAATATATACATATCTACTGTTAGAAAAAAATAACAAAAGAAATCAAGAATCTTTTTTTTTTCTTTTTGAGAGAGTCTCGCTCTGTCGCCCGGTTAGAAAAAAATAACAAAAGAAATCAAGAATCTTTTTTTTTTTGAGAGAGTCTCGCTCTGTCGCCCAGGCTGGAGTGCAGTGGCCAGATCTCAGCTCACTGCAAGCTCCGCCTCCCGGGTTTACGCCATTCTCCTGCCTCAGCCTCCCGAGTAGCTGGGACTACAGGCGCTCGCCACCTCGCCCGGCTAGTGTTTTTTTTTTTTTTTGGTATTTTTCAGTAGAGACGGGGTTTCACCAGGTTAGCCAGGATGGTCTCGATCTCCTGACCTCGTGATCCGCCCGTTTCGGCCTCCCAAAGTGCTGGGATTACAGGCTTGAGCCACTGCGCCTGGCCAAGAAATCAAGATTCTTAAAGCTAAAGTAAGAAAGAGCAACTAACATGCACGAAAAGGTGTCCTAGGAACTGCAAATAACTTAAGAGTCATAGAAATGAACTCATCAGTAGCTATTTGAAAAAGGAAACTACATTCTATTTTGTGAAAAAACAAATGGAAAAGCACAATTTGTAATTTCACAAAAGAATACGATATTATGTTGATATTTAATAGTTATATTATAAATTTATACACAAAAGCTAAGTGAAGAAAGTTTTTTGTGGGAATCTACCTCATACATACCTGGGGTATAGCCCTTCCTTTCAATTTTGGCACTTAAGGATATTGGGCCTGAGGTACAGAACCAGCAACAGAGTGTCTTTTCTTTTGTGCCTGCTTGGGGTGACTGTAAGAAAACAATTTAGAGAAAAAGGTCAGTGTATGGATTGGTACAATCAATACCAGAATATTTTAAAATATAATCCTAAATTTGTGGAAAAATAAAAATTAAAACTGGTTTTGCTTTTTTTTTTGGATCCAGATATACTTCTTATTTTTTAACTAATCGATGGTTTTTGAATTATACCATTACTTTTATTTTTATATAAATTTCCATTCAATTAGAAAAAAAAGGTAAAGGGTGTACAGCGTTTCCCATAAACAGTTTTTTAGTTCACACTATTTACAAATACAGTAATGAAAAACCAACCAAATAAAAAAAACCCTTTCCACATTCCATTTAAACTGCCTTAAAAAGGCAGCACAGAAAGCAATCTGACTATAATTCCAAATGTTAACATCTTTCTCTGAGAATATAAAAAAAAATGTAAAAAAAGGAAAATGCCCATTTCTTATTTGCTTTAAAGATGTTATCATTTGTTTAAACCAAATACAGTTTTAAGTCAAATTTGATTTGTTCTCAGACAAATGCAATTAAAAATAGATTCTTTTAAAAAAGGAGTTTTTTTAATGAAACGAATGATTCCCCATTATTTGACAACTATCCCTCTATTGGAATAACAAAGTATAGTACAAATTTTAGATTATGATATTGTCAAGTTAAGTGATATTGTATTACAATAAAAGATACTACTGTCCTTCTTCCACTCAAATCATCCAAGGACCAGATCTGTTTGTTGTTATGGCTTTTGTTACTCATATTGTGAGTAAGAGATACTTCATATCATATACTGGTCTTAGTTTCATATTTACTTAAAGGTACTACAATGTCAAAAATATGAGCATATTTTTCATTAATTTCAGTGTTCTTGACTGTATTTAAGAAAATGTATATTTATGGAATTTTAAAAGAAAACCAGTATTTTTAAATTATGACAACTGCATAGTTTAGGTGATTGATTATTCTTTAATATTTATATGCCAAAAACAAAGAATGAATAATTCAGTCAATTCTTACCAGTAATGAAGGAGTGTTGATATCTATATGCTCAAAGACTGTAAATTCCTTCTTTAATTTTACTGGTAGTAGCCAAGGCCTGTGCAATTCGGCTTTCACCCAATAGCGCACACTGCCATGTCGGCCTTCGAATGAGGTAGCAAGTGGTCTGTGCAGAATATAAAGGTCAATATATTAATTTTATACCTCTTTCTAACAATTACACAGTAGGTCAGAATAGAAGTGTTAATATATTGTATCGTTTATGTACCAATGAGGTATCAAACATGTAATTTAAAAAATTTCCAAAGGGATAAGTCATTGGGGAAAAAACTTTCTATTTCCAAGTAACAATAAACAATAAGTATCTTTAATATTTTGCTTTAAAAAGCCAGAAGAATACAATCCATTTAAACTAAGAGGAGGCTACTTTTAATGATGGTGGCAAAATTATGAAAGTTTAATGGACATTTTTTGAAAAGGCCAAGAATTCAAAAACAAAGTTGAGAATGGTTTAACTATTTCTACTGATAAATTCTAGACACTGGTTAAACATTCAGACCAAAATTCCCTATAGTACTCCACTTCTCATTAGTCAGATTATCATCTTTTTATAGCAACTAATTAAGGTCTAGAAAAGGCCTGGAATAGTCATTATAGTTTCAAAAATTTCATATTTCATAAGTTTACTGAAAAACTACTTTTCTATCTCTCAGTTTACTCATTTTCTAATTCTTGTTTGGCTGTTCTCTAACTTTACAGGCTTCAAAAGAAAAAGAAATAGTCCTCTTGATCTATGTCAAGAGAATCAAATTTTTTTTTTAACTGTCAGATCTTACTTGTGAAAGGTTTTATTTTAGCGAGTTCAGTCTCTTTTTCATAATTTCATTAGTAAAATACTCAGTGTTCAGTTAGTTACAAGGAAGAGTGCTAGCTTAGATTAGTATAAGGAACACTGGTGTTTTCACATTTTTTTTTGTATTTTAGACTCCCATATTAACTTGTATATAGCAGAGAAATAAAATCTTAAACTGTATGCTAATAATTATCCAAAGTTTATGTTAAATGACTTTGGTTTACAGATAGAACTTTAACATTAAATGACCCTGAAAATACTCAGGTCCCATATTAGCGTTATTCTATTGACAAACTTTAATATTTTTCTCAGAAATTAGATGAGGGCATTATATTCCAAATAAAATTCTCAAATAATATAGTAAATAGAATTTTCTAAAAAATACCATTTATGACTTCTCTCTTTATATAACATCTCAAGCACTAGAATTAACAAATGTAGAATTATGTACATTTGTCACCTGACAAAATCTTATGTAATCTGTTTATTCTCCAGAATAATCGGCACAAGTGTCATTTTGCAGGTTTTAGTATTTGCTAAAAGGCATTATTTTTTTAAAAAAAGTTTGTATAATCTCTTCCAACAATCTGTCATTAATTCAAGAATACACCACTTTCCTTTTTCCTTTCTTACTAGATTCCAAGTTTTGTATCAACGTATCCTTGATGTATTTTTCCTTTTAAGCTTGGGTCATATCTCTTGTGTGACCTTCCCAATAATTCTTTGTACAGAAGTTATTAAGTTCATATCAGGAGAACAACATTTCTAAAGTTAGGATATTCCTAATTATTTTTACTTTTGAAGCTTACTGCTATCGGTTAGTTATTGGTTAGTATTAGCAGAAAAGGTGGAACACAGAACTTTTTATAAATTGAAGCTACTGAGACTTGATAGGGTCTTTTCTCATAATGACAATTGATAATAAACTAAGTATAAAGTGGTTATTATTTGACTAGCACCTTCCAATTCACTCATGTTAAAGGAAACACTATTCCTATTTTAAAAACCTCATGAACATTGGGATAGAAGACTGAAATTTGAGTATGCTTTCTATAATTTTGCCACGGTAGATTAAAAAATAGCTTCTTATGTTTAATATATTGTTTTCCTCTAGCAAGTTCCAGTCATGAAAAGGGTTTTTTTTTTTTTTTTTTTTTTTTAACTAAAAGTGTTTAAATTTAGAATACTTAATTTTAAAGTAATGCTCTGATCATGGGTATGTATAAAAATGCCTATTATTTATAATTCTTACGTCTGTGGAAGCTCGAAGCTGAATGCATATTCATGCCTTCCTGAATGAATAGTGTGGAAGCCTTCTTCGGAATTATCATCATCTAAAAGAAACATAAAAAGAAAACAAAGAATTTATTATTTGACATTTACATACTCCGCAGGGTGGCATAACTTTAAAGATGCTTACATAATAATTAAGACCACAAAACAAGCTTTGGAGTCTGAGAGAGCCGAGTTCTAATTCTAACTTCATCATTTCCTCTGGACGAAATAAAAATCCCGTTTTCAGCTGCCTTATCTGTAAAATGGGGATAATGAATACTCACACCCCACAGACTTTTATTTTTTAAATGGAAAATGACCCAAACTGTAAAGCATCTGTTGATAAAATAGTATATATACTCAAAAGGCTCGGGTCTCACATCATGGTAAGATAATGTTATCTTTGTCTCCAGCTGTTTGCTTAAATTTATCGCATGAAGACTACAATGTATCAAATAAAAACTGTTCGTGCAACCCTTTTAAAAATATGTCAGTTTAGGGGGAATAATGCCAAACATGTGAATAGAATAGATACTCCAAAACCACTAGAAAACTTTGTCAAATAGATGGAGTAAAAAAAAAAAAAAAAAAAGCACACACATTGATTTTAATGTCAGTTTTGTAATTAAAAATAATTATTTATTGACCTAAAGTGATCACAATACTCAGTCCTAGCAACGATTAAAATTTGCATAAACTATACCTTAGATCATTACCAAGAACCGCATTTAGGAGGTGCCTGCTTATAAGGAAACAATATTGTCGGACATTCTTGAAGAAGATGAAGTCTAATTATTAACAGTTTCCAGTTTCTATAAAAAAGGAATGACCTTTCATTTTACAACCATTTTTTTGGGTCAAATTTGTTTTTCAAGTGGCATGAAAATAAAGAAATATAATCGAAAATATGGGAGGGGGTTCTAGATAATTAAAATGCTTATTTAGCGTTCTAAATAATTACAGAAATATCTTTTAGTTTTCTCGGTGTAGAAACCTTTACGATTAGCCCCCAGAGTAGAAAAAACTGGCATATTATTTTAACTTTCCTTCAGCAAAGTACTGAATATACACAAAAAACGTGATGCCTCCCTGATATCAAACGAGAAAAGGGGGGAAAAGCATGTATACGTCGATACTTTTATTTAAAAATCACGGTAATTCGCATATGTCTCCATACAATTTTCCTCGTCCCCTGTGCAAATCCCCTGAACAGATTTCAGAACCAAAAACTAGCTGATGAGCTGGGGGCCATTTAAATTCGCTCCCCTCGAAGGCGCCCAAAGTTCGCCTTCCTCTCCCTTTCTTCCCTCTTCGCTCCCTTTTTGTGCCAGCTCAGCAGTCTCATTGAGGCGAGCGGCTGCGGCCGCGCCGTGGTAAACAAGTGCCGGGCTGTCAATCAAGAACTAGACCGGAGCAGGAGAGGACCGGCCTAAACCGGCGCGAGCAGATCCCAGCCGGCCTGCTCGCGCGCCGCCGCCGCCGCCCGCGCGCCCCGCTATACATACGGCATACGTCGCGCAGCGCTCGCGCCCGTGCCCGCACAACCTAGCCTGCTGGACGAGGGGCGGGGCGAGCGAGCCGCGGCGCTTCCGCTTTACACGCCCCAGCCGGCGACCGGTTCGATCTGGCTCGGGCCACTCTGACACCTTTAGTTTCCGCGAGGGAAACTGGGGCGGCCGAGGGGAGGCGGGGGCCTGAAGCTTTCGGAAAACAATGGGGGAGGGGGCAGAGGATACCCTTCGAAGCCCCCACCTAGATTTCGATATTGGAATCATTTTCTTTCTTCCCCGGGCCAGCCTCTGCTCTGTCCCCTCAGGTCAACTCAAGGTAGCCAGTGTGGCTACTGGAGAGGTCGGGGAACACGCTTTGTTTCAGAAGCGTTCACAGGAGTCCCCTGACACCTCCTACCCGGCAGATAGCTAACGGGGGTCCTGCCAACCCTTCCCATCCAAATTCCATCTGAAAAGGATTTTCCACTAAAGTTGGGTCCCGGGCCATCCGGCACCTGTAAGGCCGGCAGGAGCGTCTGCCCTCAACTCAGCTAAAGCCTGAAGTCGTTTCCTTTCGATGGTCCTTAGCAGGCCCAAAAGAGGGGCGATAGAACGTGATGTGACACGGGCCGGGCGCCCCCAGAAGCCCGGGAACAAACGTGAGTATGGACTGGGTGGGGGTGGCTCTCTGGAGGGACCTTTACCGGCGCACGCCGGTTTCCTAGCCTCGCCCCAGCAGCGGCGCGAGCCCCCTCTCCCCACCCGCCCGCGCCCAATCCAATCAGCGCCTGCCATCGCCTTAGCAACAGGCTAACAAACCTGGCTCCGCCTATCCCGGGCGCCCGGGGCGGGGTCTCAGTTACCAGGCTAGTTTGAGAGCTCCCAGTTTCAAGTCATTGAAACTATTCCAGACTGAGCTCGTCTACGCGTTGCAGGGTTTGGGGGGGGCATTTTGTTGGGGGTGCAGGGCATTTAGTTTTCTTTACCATGAAATCATGGTGTAACTAATGAAATATTTGTCCTCACAACTCATTGTTCTACTTTTCCCCCATTGCAAGTCTCAACCTCTTGAAGAAAAATCTGTTTCTTTCACCCATTTCATAAAAGGCTGCAATATTCAGAAAGGTAGAAACACAAACTCATCTATCTGCTTTTCAACAAATACCAAGACTGTCATTAGGCATCTGCATCTCCTATCAGTGTTAACGCTTGGAGACATTAATTAGTTATTTCAGGATGCAAAGTACCTGTATCTACGAAAATCCTACTAAAGAACTGAGTTCACCTTAATAGTTTCAGAAATCATGCATTAATACTGCCCCTCAAAGCATCCTTCATTTCTCACTTGCCTTAGTTCAGTCATCAGCACCTCTCCAGGATGTACGTTTTTAATATAAAAAAGAAGGTAAAATATGGCTCTAATTTTTTTCTGAAAAATCGCCAACATCTGAACTAAATACTGCATTAAAAAGGAGAGGCACAAAAATTACATAACCAGTTTTAACATTATATTCTTCTTGGGCTAGGAATTAAGTCATCGCCACCACCTGACGCGTGTAACCAATCTGCTGAGAGCAGAACAAGCGCCCCTCCTCACCACCCCCCAGAACTGGTCCGAAACAGGATTGAACCGCTTCTAACAAAGGGTGGAAACTTAGAAAAACAAGCCTAGACTCTCCTATATTTCCACAATGTAACCATTTAAACAATAGATTGGAAATCTCAGGACTCCTTCTCCCTTTGACAACCCTTTATCTCCCTCTTCTAACCAAAAATCAAATCCAGTGTGCCCTATACTTTTCAATTCCATTTGACTGGCATGGGTTTCATTGAATGCACGTTCCAAAGTTAGACATGATGCTCGGAAAAGAAAATTACTGATCCTAAATGGCTTCTAAAACTGACTCGATACCTATCATAATGACAGACAGTACCCTTTAAAATAAGGAATGCTGGGTGTAAATTTTTAAAGGAATGGGAAAGAATAGAGAAAAAACACGTGGGGTGTTGATACCATATGTCAAAATAAGCCACATAAACCTTTTATGAAAGCACAGTGATCAATTCTTTAAAGTCTTTTGCATTCCAAAATTAAAAATGAAACACGCCCATTAAGCCTCTTAAAAATGTTATTACATTTCTTGATTGAAGTTTAGTTTTTACATCTTAGGTTGCAAGTAAAAGGGCAAAAATCTAAGACTGCAGCTTTTAGCAATTCATTTGAAAATATATTAGTAAAACGATTGCATTGGATTCAAGCAGAATTTATAAGGTGCAAATGGACTACAAGCGCGTATGGCACAGACCAAGCCGGGTATAGAGGTAGTTGAATAAGTGTAGTTTGCAGTCACTTTGCAGATGCCTGCATGCATTACGGCTTAACACACGATGAACGTCAAGGAGAATCCAAACCTTCCAACTTTGCTAACCTTTATCAAACTGCTTAGTTATACTATGAGTAGAATCACGTTAATTCAGAAAACTGAAAAGGTACGTTTCCAAAGAAAATGAGTCCAATGACTTCTGAATAACAGAAAAACTTACCTCTTTCGTGCCCAATTAAGATGTCTTTATGGTTGAAATATTCTACTTCTTCAGTGTAATTCTGTGTATAGGCAGTATTGGAGCCGGCGTTTCTAGATTCAGTCCAGCGTACTTTCGCATGCCCTCTTGCATGAATTTTAAGAGATTTTACTCTGATTTCCCCAGTAACTTCTAAATTTACCCTTCCTGAGACAGTATCCCCACTAGAATACACAGGGACATTGCTGTCATTAAGACAGTCAAAGCTTATTGTCAAACTCTTCACCTTTCCCAGCACCATGTTTATAACAAAATCTATAAAAATATAATGTAAGACAAAAAAGTCAAGATCGCATATAAAATGTGATCTTCACTTAACACTGATCGATATTTTTGCCGTGCAAAATGCTTGCAGGCCGGATCAGTGATTCTCTACAAATAGTTCATTGAGATTTCTTAAAAAGTCAGGGCAGCAGAAGCTGCTGCTCCGCGCTCCCGCTCGTCTCAGTGGTCTCCTTACAAAGACGGGCGGCTAAAGGCTGCCAGCTCACTTTAAGAGCAGCTTTGTGAAAAACAACCCCAATGCGCAAGCGCAGGCCGCGGCTGCTGTCCGCCCTCCCTGCGCGCCCCCTCCCGCGCCGCGCCGCGCCGCGCCGCGCTCGCTCCCTCCCTTGCTCGCTCGCTCCCGGGTACAGTAGGTGTAGAGTTAGGGGAAGGAGATACTGGAGCTGCCGGCCGGCTGAACCTGACTTCTCTTCATTGTGGGCTCCTATTGGTAGGCAGGCTGCCGTATACCCTCGACGTGCTATCTGGAGCCCCTTACCGAGCACACTCTACTGGAAAGATAATGGCAGAGTGGGGCGCGAGGGGACAAGGCCTGGGTGGGGAGTTTGCAAAGCCAAGTAAGGATAAACTGCAGTGACCACCCCAAAGCGTGCGTTACTGGCACTGCAGCGTTTTACCAACTGCCTGGATGGGAGGAGGAAAAAGTGATGTGTGAAGAGAGATGGGGGAAGGGAGAAACCGGTTGGGCAAGCGGCCGATTGTTGAGCATAATCTAACGAATTTTCAAAGAAAATGTAATAAAACTGGACAAGAAGTATTGTTCATAGACAAGAGCATACTTGGCTTGGATTTTTTTTTTTTTTTTTTAAACCAGTACTTTGTAGGCAGGGTGGAAATGAACTCAGTCGAGGTCAAAGGAACCTTAGTCCTTTGAAGAGCGAGGTAGAGAAGCAAGTACAATGTAATCAATAGGCTTTTTTGTCTCCTCAACTTCTTTCTCCTACATCGCTTAATTAGATAGCACCGAAAAACAACCAAGTTGTTTCCAGGATGACACGGGTGGGGGCTGGGGGGAAGCTTGACCACTTCCTCGAAGGAAGAAAAAGTCCTTTTTAAGACACCACCTACGGCTAGATTTGCAGAGTAAGACATGATTACAACTCCTGTGTCCAGAGGAATAAGAATAGAGTTCGGCCTAAAAAAGTACCATCTTATAAAAGGCATAGGACATAGTGGTTTAGCTGACATATTGTTTGCAACAGAATCGGAAAATCTTTGTTAGAAATTAGTGAAGCGCATAAAATTGTTTTTAAAAAGCATGATTTGGTATATAAATAGGGGTTAACTGTGAAGCTTTAATTTTCGGCCGAAAGAGCCTTGGACCATTTAACGTAGTAATTCTCATGATACATCTTAAATATAGGTACATTTCTCTTTTTATTGTGAATGTTTGGTAAAAAATAGCAGTGCTTTCGTCACATCACACTGGGATTCAGAGCATAACAGCATAAACTCATCTAGATTACTGGCAATCAACAGAACTGCCTTACAAGAGAAATGTAGAAAGAAAAAATATGAATCTGGTGCTCTCTCTCTCTCTATATATATATGTATGAACAAAAATACCTTGGAAGATTTTTGGCTGTACGTGTCTAAACATTTTAGATTCTTTTGCGTAGTGTATTTGGGTAGGTTGAACCTATGAGTCACAATAAACTAAACTTATTGGTCTTGCTGTTTTCTTTATTTCAAAAGAAACTAAGCTTTTGGGGGCTGGATTTTAGTTGACAAGGCAGTATCTTGGACTCAACAGCAATATATAAAAAGTATAAATATGCAAACTAGACAATGAGCAGGCCATTTATTTCAGAGTTTAGATCGCTATGCGTAAAATTATAAATTTGCATATTTAAGTGGAAAAAACAGTCTTATCTTTTTCCCCCCCTCTTGGTTGACACCTGGTGGAAATTCTAGGTAAAGTACCTGAGTCCTTGTACTAGCTTTGATTACAGATACTACTTGTGTTTTTTCTCCACCTAGTGGTAGAAGTGGTGAATTTCCTAGAATGACAGCTTTTCCTCAGCATAATGTCAATGATACTTAATAAGCATTCAAAAACCACTGAGCAAGGAATGGATTTAAAAGTGTAGTCCACAATGAATACATAAATTCATTGCACATTTGTGTCTACATTTATGTTAAAAATTATTAAGGGTTAGTGAACAATAGCTGAATTC